AGAAGATGGAGATGGAGATGAAGATGGAGACGATAATGTGTTGGTTAAATCATAATTATTTTCGTCATTACTATTGATACAATCAATCAAATCTTTACGAACTTCGCCAATTGTTGGTCGTTTCTTAACATCCGAATTCCAACCTTGTATCATTATTTTGTGATACTTTTTGGGTATTCCTTCCATTTTGTCAAAATCATTAGGTTGAGGGCGTTCATTATCATTTAGAATTTTGTTTTTAATTAAATTGGAATCTATTTTACCAAATGGGAAAGTTTGCATAGCAATTTCCCATAGCAATATTGAAAAACTGTAGACGTCGCTTGATCTTGTATAAGTTGAATTGTCAGACTTAAGGACTTCTGGTGCTGTGTATCTGCAAATATTTTAAAAAAGAAGATATATTAATCAATAAAATCATTTTAAATATATTATCACCACCCGTATGTATATATGTATATAAGTGTGTGTGTGTGTGTGTAGGTTACCTTGAATCTTGTTGATATTTAGTAGATTTGAAAAGAATGGGATTTTCATATTTGACAGATCCAAAGTCACAAAGAATTGGATCAAGTGACAAATTCAACAGGACGCTCGTACTTTTAATATTACAATGTAAAAAGTTTTTTTGATGGCAAAAGTTCAATGCACTTGCAATTCCAAGAGCTATTTTAACTTTTAAACTCGAGCTGATTCTTGGATTTGTTGTAAGGTATGCTTTGAGATTATAATCGAACCAATTTGTAATCACGTGATATGATTTATTACTATGATTATTTTTATGATGAGTATGTGTGTACCCGTAACTAAATAATATCATTGAGAGAGTAAGGGAGAAATTTTTTTTAGTCTTATTTGTTCATTATGAAAAATCATAAAATTATTTCGTCATGAATTTTTTATTACTTACTATTTTAGAATATTTTGGCATTTTTCAAGCGATTTTAATTTGATCAATTCATTTTCCAATTTCTTAACGTCATTTCTATTTGGTAGGAATCCAATTTCTTGTTCCGCCACGAATTTATTTTTATAAAGTTTTTTCTTTCTGATTTTATTATCGTCATCAACAATTTCAATTGGATTATTTAAAGATACCAAATTATCGTGGCCCAAATCCAAATTTTCTTTATTAAAGAACAATACATCGATGATCTTTGTTACATTTATTCTCTCTTTCCAATCATTGATTATTTCATCATTAATACTAGTAGTTTTCAGCTTATAAATGTTCAAGGTCAGCACGTTAGTCAAAACTCTCAAAGATTGCAAATAATCTCTTAATTTATTTTTAATGTTCACATCTTCTTGATTTTCTTCGTTGGTCATGTGGTTCGAATTAAAGTTTACAATCAAGTATAGCTTATCCATCAAAAACTCAAATTCTTGTGTTTCCACCAATTTTTCAACATCAAAATCGTTATATTCCTCATTACCAATTCTATTAGTAGTATGGAGCTTAATTTCATTTCTTTGTTACATTTATTCTCTCTTTCCAATCATTGATTATTTCATCATTAATACTAGTAGTTTTCAGCTTATAAATGTTCAAGGTCAGCACGTTAGTCAAAACTCTCAAAGATTGCAAATAATCTCTTAATTTATTTTTAATGTTCACATCTTCTTGATTTTCTTCGTTGGTCATGTGGTTCGAATTAAAGTTTACAATCAAGTATAGCTTATCCATCAAAAACTCAAATTCTTGTGTTTCCACCAATTTTTCAACATCAAAATCGTAATATTCCTCATTACCAATTCTATTGGTAGTATGAAGCTTAATTTCATTTGAGATAAAGTAGAATTGTTCCAAAAAGCCTTTTGAAATTTCAAGATCGATATTTTTATATTTATTAAAAATTTTGATTAAAATTTGAACCGATTCGTTAAGCGATTTAATTTCATTTTTAGCTTCGATAACGCGATTTGACGAAGAAGTCTTCAATGGCAATGAAAAGAAACGAGAAATTGAGACTTTTGAAGTTTTTGGAGGTGAAAAAATAGATTTTGAAGAAGATGGTGGAGATGAAGGCGATGAAGATGAAGAAGATTTTTTAAAGCAAAAAGAGAAAATATATTTTGTCATTTTGAAAAAGAGTTTTTTTTTTGTTGTTGTTGTAAAAAGAAATAATTGTATATATATTATTTTTGAAGAATGTTTCTAAATAATTAAATAATATGTGAATATGTAGCTATATTTTTGATATTTATAATAATATATATACTCGATCAACGAGCAATTTTAATAACTTGTCTAAAGTTAAAAAAAAATGATCAAAATTTAAATCTTTTTATTTTTATTTTTTTTTTTTTGGAAGAGAGAATCAGGACTTGTTGGATTTTCTTTTGATGGAAATGAAAAGTTGGGTGAAAAATTGTTGTTTATATATAAGTTGGCTGAACAATATTAATTATGGTGTCAGTATACGATTAAAAACCTAAAAATAACTTAATTTTTCATTCATCCCCGATTTAGTTAACAAAGCAACAAAGATAAATAAATAATATTAATATTTAAAAATTTATGAAACATCCGCCATAACAAACAACAAACATTTCCCAAAAAAAAGCACAATGACTTTTAACATCCAATAAAAAAAAGGTTCCCAAAATCTTTATTTTTTTTACCCAAAAAATGTCATGTGCAATAAAAATTTGTGATTAGCTGAAATAAAATTTATCAAATTTTCACCCCGTCAATAAGCAAGGTTTAGCCTATAATAATAAATTGATATTAATAACACATTTGCATATCATATATATCTTATCATAAACTTCACCATAGAAAGAATGATAAAAATATAATAATGATAAATATGTTAGATATGACGATAATAAAATAATAATAAGGTTTTTTTAAACATTTTTATTATTTACCGCAATTCTAATCCCAACTTTCTTCCATCTGAAAAAATGTCTTCAAATTTTCGTAAATTAGAGTTCGCTCAAGACCAACAACAATTATTAGAATCAAATTTTATTGGTAAATATTTTTAGAACAATATAATAATTTTTATTATTATTAATGTTAATATTATTATTAATGTTATTATTATTATTAATGTTATTATTAATATAAAATAACAACATTGATGATAGATTTGGCAAGTGATAAATTGGGTTCAAGGATTATAGAATGTAGCGATGAATTTTTTGCTGATGCTTCAAACTTGTTGAAACCAGAAAAGTCCATCCGCATATTTGGAAAATATACAGGTTTTAATTTTTCTTTATATTCTATTTTCTTTGTTTTACATATATATCCAGTAACACAAATATAATATTGTACAATAGATCATGGAGCATGGATGGATGGATGGGAAACAAAAAGACATAATCCAACTTTTGATTGGTATTCATGCATGATAAATTGAATTATTGGAAATAGACAAACAATTGGAAATAATTAATTAGTTTCTGATTATTATTTTAGGGCAGTGATTAAATTAGGGTTTCCAGGATATGTAAATGGATTTGATATTGATACTTCACATTTCATTGGTAATCACGCTCCATTTGCCGACGTTGAATGTTGCTGTATGATAGATAAAGATCCTATTCATAATGATCATGCCAAGGTATATGTGTTTTGTTTTTGTACATACATGTGTATATTTTTTTATGTAGTCTCAATTCCAACACAATATATTTTACATGCAATATTTTTGATTAGTGGGATAAAATGTTGGATAAAGTAGAATTAGGACCAAATGCTCAACATTTCTTTGGAATTTCAGGAAATCCACAAAAATATTATACTCACATTAAAATAAATATTTATCCTGATGGCGGTGTGGTAAATATCATCCATCATTTTTGTATTTATATAAATGTTTTTATTGAATCATATTAATAACTATTTAATTAATATATGTGGTTTTTTCCATTCAATTCTCCTTATTCTACTACTCCAAATCTTTAGGCAAGATTTAGGGTTTATGGAACAGTTTTTGCCAGTTTCCCAAAAAATCCAACTGAATTATTTGATTTGGCTTTTGTTGGTAATGGTGGTACAATATCTTCATATTCTGATCAACATTTTGGTAAAGTAAGTGATTTATTATTACCCGGTAGAGGAAATAAGAATATGAGTGATGGTTGGGAAACTAGACGCTCCAGAGAACCAAATCATAAAGACTGGTGTATTGTCAAATTGGGATGTCCTGGATACTTGGAAAAAGTTGAAGTTGACACTGCTTATTTCAAAGGAAATTATCCTGATTCTGTCGAGTTAGAAGGTTGTTTCAGCGGTAATCCGGTAAATATATATAATTAATATTTACTTAAACCTGTTATGAAAATATCTGTTTAAACATTAATTAATTAAATTCAATAGGAGATTTCTGATTTGAAATCAAAGTGGACTATAATATTACCAAAGACAAAATTGTTTCCACATAAACAACATTATTTTGATTTACTCAAACTGGATGGGAAAATATCACACGTCAGAATGAACATTTATCCAGGTAACTATCTAAAAGTTAAAACAATTTTTTTATTATATTAATTGTATTCATTCATTCTTATTATTGCCTAATTCGTATGATTTATACAAGACGGAGGAGTGAAAAGATTACGTATTTGGGGTCGTAGAGAAATTCCAAGAATTGAACTCGATTCTAAATTAATATTATCGCCATCATTAAATAACATTACCGAGGATTGGTTAAATATTATAATAACAGCAGAACCTTTAACAATGTCATCTTATTCAAAATATGGTAATGTAATTCAATCAGCTTCTGAACAGCAGCAACAATCTTGGCTATCGTCATCACCTTCTGTAACATTAACCTATCAAGGGATTAAAGTAACATCTGCAAATCAAGGTTCAGCATTGAAATATAATAAGGTTGCTCCACTAATTAATTATCGTAATAAGGATAATAATAAGGAAAATAATAATGATGGTAACAAGGAAAACTATTATGATGCTGAAGGCGAACAAAATAAAAAATATTCAATTGCTCAACCAAATTTAAGCATATTCAAATGTCAACCAATTAAAAATATTCCATTCAAGCTGGATTTATTGGAAAGGCATTTATATAGTAGTCAACTATTTGTTCCCATGAACAGTGGTAATTTACGAGGCTATTTGATTATTGTTTGTCTAAATGGTTTAGGTATTTAATTATTATGTGGACTTTTGAATTGGCTGAGAATTATTAATGATTGATTTATTCATTTAAACAATCCCAATATTAAAACGCTAATATTTATTTTAAATAGATGATAAACCTGATTTAAGAACTTTGAAAGCTTTCGTTGCTTCAAATGTTCAGGGTGTAAGTTATAATCCTGGTACTTGGCATCGTCCCATAATTGCATTAGAACACGTTACTGATTTTATTTGCTTGACTTATGAATCGGGTGTTCCAGATGAAGATTGTGAAGAGGTATTGATTTTAGATAATATTACAATTCAAGTTCCTGGATTTAATGGAATCAATATCAATAACCAAATAGATACACCAGAGTGGGTTAAAATCTACAACGATAATACAAATATTAGTTAGCTATTTAACCAATAGATAGAGATTTAGATAACAAAATATAACTTTTTTTCTAATATAATTTTTTTTTTGCAATTATTACATTTATTCAATTTAATAAATTCTAATGATTTACATTATTATTACATGAAAAGAAAAAATAACAAACAAAAAAAATTTACAAATTATATTCATTAGATTACAACACTACATCATAAGATTATATTGTGATTCTTGGCAATTATCGTAACAAACTTGCTGTTGAGTTTCATCGCAAGATTGTAATTGATTACAATTGTCATAGGAGCCTTGATATTCATTATGGCTTCCGCAATTACTTGAGTAAACAGTTGGTGTTTTACAAGATCCACTGCCACAAGTCCCACCGCATGGTCCACCACCACATGGCAGTAGTGGTGGTATCGCAGTTGGACAACGTCCACCACAAGGGCTGATTGGTGGTGGTAACACTGCCGCTGTGCAACATTCATTACAAGGAGCTCCTCCTAAGCATTGACGTTTCTGAAGTAAATAATCTCTTTTTCTTTTGTTTCTGTCATCTTTGTTATTAAGAACTGAACGAATTTTAGTTTGTGGAGTTGTTGTTGATGCTGCTAATGCTGATGGTGATCTTTTATTGGCGAGGTTTGGGAATGCATTGGTCGAAGAAAGTTTTAACACAAAGAAAAATATTAAAAGTAAATTTAAAATGGTTTTAAATGATTTCATTTTGAATTTTAAATTTAGGAGTTGTTTGTTTGTTTGTTTGTTTGTTTGTTTGTTTGTTTGTTTGTTTGTTGATTTAAATGTTTTGAATTTGAATTTTTTATGTTTTGAATTCGTATTATGAAAGCTTTGTCTGGTCGATGTTTCTTGTCGCGTTTAAATAATGAATTTTTTTTAATTAATTGTAATTAATATATTAATAAATTGGTTTAATCAATGAATTAATTTCAAAATGTTGATTAATTGCTTTTTGATTAATTGATTGATAATTTATTTCATTCATCGTCTAATTACCTTTTTTAGTAATCGGACAGAATTTATCAAGACTAAATAGTTGGTCGGTCTTTTTTAAGTTTACAGTATAAGGAAAACAAGAGTCTATGAAGCGAGGAAGATCATAAAAATTCTTCAAATGGAAATCTCTCGATCGAATGAACCAAGAAGATGTTTTATATTGCATCAGGTACAGCAGGATTCTGCCTTCTCTTGGTCCATCTGGCAAAAAGAGGGAATGAAACATAATCTATATTCTTAGATAATGCATCAATTCTGTGATGTATATTTACTAAAGGTGCAGACATATTTCCGAACTATATCGAAGACATAAGTTTTACGATCATCAAACCGGTTACTGTGGTTAATCTATTATATTAAAATAGAAATATCAATATTAATAAAAATTCATTAAAACTTATAAGGACAGAAAATGGGACGGGTCGCGACTAATTAATATTCTTGCGTACCACACAGAAAAAATAGTAATTGATTGTCTTTAAAAGGACCAAAAAAGTAATGCTATTTATTACAATACTCTTTTTCAATATCTTTGAGCTGAAAAAAAACTGAAATATGTCTGAGACTCACTTCTTTGAACAACAAGATGGCTCACGAATTGCATACAAGATTCTCGAGTCGGAGGACATGAAAAATGAGACTCCCCTCGTGTTAATCATCGGATTGTGAATATTGCTACTTTTGAAAATATATATTCTGCATTTTAAATTATTTATTCTACAATTTATCAATAACTTCTCAATCAAATATGTTAAGGTGGGACGTCAAAGAATTTTTTACGGGCTTAGAAGTAGGTTAAGTATGGGTATCTTTACTTTTAACGTATGCTTATTGTGCAATTAATTGATTGTTCTTAATGATTATTAGAATTGGCAAAAAATCGAAAAGGTTTCCTTATTGTTTCATGTTTTAGAAAAAAAAATTTTCTCAACTAAAATCTAAATTGTCGTTTTCCAGTAATTGTGTTTGATAATCGTGGAAACGGGGAATCGAGCGTCCCTTCTTCTAAGGATCCTATTTCGATTGATTTGATGGCACGAGATACAATCGCATTGGTCAAGCATCTTGGAATTAAACAATTTAATCTATTGGGGTGGTCTATGGGTGGTAATATTCGAAAATCTGAATATTTAATGGTCTTTCCAATGATGATTTTGATTCATGAATGTTAATTTCTGTATAATTTTTATAGGCATTATCGCACTTTGCGTCGCCTTGAATATTCCATCGGATCTTAAGCTAGAGAAATTGATCATTTGTTCAAGGTATATATACTGTAAAATACTTTAAATCATTCATAAAACCATTTTTTAATTTGCATTACTCATCTTTGATAAAGTTTTGCTCGACCCATAGCAAATCAAATCTTCGAAGATTTTTATAACTTACCAGAATTAGACCCCCCGAAAAGCGTCCAAGAACAAAAGGACATGATCACTGCGACCTTTTCTGATTACCTACTTGAGCATCCTGACAAGCTTGATAAGCTTGCGAAATTAAACATTCATCGTCCATTTGAGATTTACAGTATGTATATTTTAACCAAGATTCATCGTGATTAAGGTTCTCGAGGATTGAAAAATACTAACTTATCTATTTGTAGAACGACAGTGGGAGGCGATTAAACAGGCAAACATCGTCTCAAAATTACAAACAATCAAAGCCCAAACTTTGCTGGTTCATGGTGAAGCCGATGACATAGTTCCTATTCGGGAAAGTGAATTACTTGAGCGTGAAATTCCTGGTGCACAATTTTATAGGATTCCTAAAGTTAGACATGCGTAAGTGTAATTTTAAAAAAAAATTGCATCAAAAAATCTCCATTAAAAGCTATTAACAACAGTTATTTGAAAATTTAAGGTTTTGGCTAGCAGAACCCAGATCCGTTGCTCACATTAATAAATTTTTGCTTGAATGAAATCAGATGTCGAAAATTACATTTTAAATAATAAAGAATGTTTTATTATGTTAACTAACCATGAATTATTAATAAAAGCGAGGTACAGTGGTTCCAAATTGGAACAAGGAAAAATTATGTAATATCGCATTTTTATATACTAATACACTATATGTGATCGGTTAGCTTGATTTATCAAATTTCGAAGCGAAGAAATAATATGCTCTAGTTTTATACCAATTATAATCACGCGAGTCAGAAAGAATATGTATCATTGCTTTATTTGTTTACGAAATAAAAAAAGAACGTCGCTGAAGACAAAAGACAACAACATACAAATAAAAATGAAACACATATATACAGTAAATAAAAAAATTATTATCCATTCATTGCATTATATTTAAAGAGAATATTTAGAGATATTAAAATATAGTAACAATCCTTGATTATTTAAAAAAAAAATAAAAAATTTGTTAATTTCTTTTCTATCAATTATTTGAAATAGTATACTGTGTTGCAGCACATAAAAAATTAAATTCTTGATTCAAGGAAAAAATGACATTTTCATATATGAGGGGCGCTCTAGGAAAAGAAGGGTCGGAGATTTTTGATCAAAAAAAATTTTTTTATATAATATTAAACTATAATATGATGATTATAGTTGGTGAAAAAATTGGACCCAGTTTGTTTATAGTGCAGGACACCTAGTCCCACAACTTTTTATTGGTCTTTTATATTCTTTAGTATACCAGAAATGGAAATGTAACTCACATAAACAAAACATGATTTTGAAGCTAAGACCTTTCTCCACAAAGCTACGATTTCATTTTGTTGATATGTCACATTACCA